GGAGGGGAAAGAGACTTCTGAGCACTCTGGTTCCTTTTGTCCCCGTGATTTGTTGTGTCCAGCCCAAGCAGCACAGGGAGCTGGGGGAGGGAGAGGAAAAAAAACCCAACAGCAGCACAAGGAAAAACAAAACAAAACAAACCAACCCCCCTCAATCCCATCTTGCCCCCAAAGAGGTGGTTTGAGGGGAGGTGGGTGCCAGAGCCCCGAAACCTTCAGAGGGGTTTGATTTTTTTTCTTCAATTTAAAAAACAAACCCAACCCTCAGATTTATTACAAATACTGAAACTTATTTAATTTTTTGGGGGGAGTCAGTCCCGAGCCCCACCAGAGTCCTGGCACCTCCTCCTTGGGGCGGTATCTCTCTCTTTAGACCTGCATTGTACAAACCTTTTTTTAAAAAGATTTCGTGTGCTTTTAGGTTTCTGTGAAAACGTCGTTTCAATGTAAAGTACGTGTTTGGATTTTAACTTCATACCGAGCTCTGTCAGTTTTTTTGTCTCAATAAAATTTTAGATTTATAATCCTGATTTTTTTTTTTTTTACTTCTTTTTAATTGATTTATTTTGTTCCTTTGTTTGTTTGTTTTTTTATCTTCCTCCAAGCTCTCTTTGGGCGTGAGGGGAGTGACAGGGTAGAGCAGGAAGGTGCTCCCTGAGCTGGGTTAGCTCGGGTTCCAGGAGAGCTGGGGGCTCCCCTGGAGCTTTGGAAGAGGTGGCAGCAGGTTCTGGAGCTGATTTTTTTTGGCTTCCACCTGGAGAAGAGGTTTAGGCAGAACCCTGAGCCGTGGGACAGGAGGAGTAGCTGTGGTTTGGGACGTGCTTTGGTGCAGGAAGATGCTGCTGGAGGGTGTTCCCGGCCAGGATCCGTCTCCAGGGGTGGGTAAGTGGCCTTTAATTCCCTTCTCACCCGCACCTGGAGCACAGCTGGTGGTTTTGGTGGGGTTTTTAGGGCTCTGGCAGCGGTTCTGGTTTGGCAGGAGGTGGTTTGGCTCCTTCCATCCCTGCTGTGGATGTGCTGAAGGCCCCGAGCTCCTGGGTGGGAAGAGCAGAGGCAGTTCTGGAGTTGGATGGTGGTTCCTGAGGGAGGCTGATGGTTCCTGACTCGGAGGTTCTGGTGTTTCCAGGCGTGCAGGATGGAGCAGGAAGGTTTTGGGTGGAACAGGGGCTGCAGAACTCCTGAGGGACCCAGTTGAAATCCAGGTTATTTGTGCCAGCACAGCCTGTACCCGGCAGGACAAGGAGATGCTGCCCTGGCCCAGCAGCAGCAGCAGCAGCAATTAAACCTGGATTAATCACCAGAGAGGGCCAGGGTAACGTCCACTTAATTGAGCATCAGAGGCTGCAGGTCCCGGGGGAGCTCCGGGAGATCGATCCAGGTCGCTGGAATCTGCCGGTTGCTCCATCCTGGCACTGGGAGGGGGCTCTGAGGGCTCTGCCGGGAGCTGCAGGATTTTGGGGATCTGCTGTGGCCCCTCCTGAGAAACCAAGGCCCAGGAAAACATCCCCTTGTGACCGGGGGAGATCCACGGGGGCTCCCCCTGGGATGGGTGCTCCAGGTCGGAGCTGGAGCAGGGCAGGGAAGGGCAGGGGAGGGCAGGGAAGGGCAGGGGAGGGCAGGGGAGCCCCTGTGTGTCCCCACAGAGCCCGGGCTGGGGGCTCAGGAGCAGCTGGCCCTGGACCCGAGGGCTGGGCCGTGGCTCTGAGCGGGATCAGAGCTCCAGGCC